CACCTAGGTAGCAAATACGGTCATTAGGATATCTGTGGAGAAAGAGGCCAGAAGACTTACGATTACTACATAGCAATTGGTTTCTGGATTGTAATCCTTGATATATCCATGGAACTGGCATTCACGCCCTACGACAATCGACGCGGCAATTCCAGCCATATCACGTGTGGGCCGAATGATGTATTCCATCTTGCTAACTCGTCTAGATTTCAGCTGAAGAAGAAGAACTGTTTGTAAGTTCAAAATATTGTACAAGGATGTTATCGACACTTACTATAGGATGGTAGTCCGCATGTTCGACGGTCAAGACAGTTGTCTGAGGATCAGGGTCTGAAGGTGATTTTTTTTAAGGTTCTACAACAATTCTCGATAATTTTATCAATTCCAACAACAAAACTGAGTGATGTCACACCAACCGAATCCACTAAATCAGCTACGCAACCCTCGGTTGTCGACAACAAACATGCATCACTGCCCTCAAACAGCAATTGATCCTTGTCCGTCTCAGGAGTATTTGAGGGGAAAAACGATCCCCTCATGAAGTAGATATGATCCTGGGACAACATGAACGCAGGTGAACTATATCCCTTCGCTTTAATTCCATACAGAAAGCGCTGATCTCGGTCGAGCCCATTGCAACCTATGTACGTAACATAAGATCGATAATCGTTACGCCATCCGTGGTCGGGTGATAGCTGACAAGACACAAGGTCAGTACAAATCAAAAACAATCAGAAAAAAGTGCCAAAGTACCTTCTCCTCGATCTCGAAATTGCCGGACAAATAAATGGCATGGTATGTCGGATGGGTGTTGTCGGACATCAGAGATCGGAAGCTATGGAAAAACAGGAGTCAAGATAACGAGAGACATAATCAGAGCATAAGTAAAGACAATGCAAAATTCCATCCCGTATGTAAAGAATTTGAAACGGGAATCAGAGCCTAACATTACTTGAAAAACAATTTTGATGACACTACAAGCAAATAATAAATTAGATTAGGGGACCAGATTGTAGATGAGGGAAATAAATGTGATACATACATATGAAAGGTGTACTTATACGAAATCTTGATGCACTTTGAGAAAACGAATAGCAGTTTCCATATTCAGATAGCCATGAAAAACCAAGGCGGTCAATCATGACAAACTATCATCTCCATGTCAGTGAAAGCCTCATGAAATGATTAGTTCATAGGCTCCGTCAACAGACTAACGTCAAAAACTGTGCCTTAGCCACGGGACCTTCGACGAGTATGGTTACACGAAAATACGCCAGAGCTCAGACAGGTGAAATGGCAGTCGCGCGAATCGCAGAATGTCCCCATGTAAGGATCCCAAATGCCGATATCAGGGTTGAAAGGCGCGGAACGCACGGTATCTACCGAATGACAAACGCAAAGATGAAAATAACGGGGGGAAAAGATTGTAAGTCCACACATGGAGTTACAAAACGACTTACACAAATCAGGACAAATATGGATCGCCCGCTTCCGTTGAAGGCAAAATCATAATGATTACACAAGGAGCGAGCAAGGCTTTGCCAACGCGGAATTCGCAAAGTAACAAGCACGGTATCATGAATGCCGATTGGTGGCGATTGACAGAGTCAGAGTCGAAGAGGATAACCAATTAGATAGCTGAAAACCGTGACAGGCTGCAAAAGATTGAAGAATATAATGGGGCAGGCTGTTAATACCACATACAGGATCTCAAGTACAGTCGCATGATCGGGATCGGTTAACAACCCGCAGTGGCAAATCGGACGCGGGCAACATTGATAGGGACCCTGATAATCCACCGTTCGGATATTACATACATAAGTACAACACCACCGGATTAACGCGATAATCAGTATGATATAACATAACACCATAGCAATTTACATGTGATGTAAAACAACATATGCAATTTTTGCTTATTGCGCGCCGTCATTTGCATGTAATATGGTAAAGCTCTGAACAAGAACTGATGGGATCGAGAGTATAAACAGTCCCAATGCCAGTGGAAAGTCAAATCAACAAAACAGCATCCTAAGCTTCGGTGCATGAAATTCAAAATAAGAAATAAATTGACAATCTTATAATTCAGAGGTACCTGACATGTACACGTAGCAGAAATGGGAGACGGACATTTGGGTTGACTGATACGTTCAAAAACAGACAAAATTTCAAGAGTACCATGGAAGAATATGAAGTACGTAAACTTTTAGTATATGAGACACACTCATACATGGATATTTGATGTCCAAGATGATAAAGAACTTATCAACATCCGCCAAGGGCCGAGGTATTTAGAGTAGCTTGTCAATAACCAACCGCCTCATAACACGCAAAAAGCAGACGCGAGGATGTGTTACACTAATAAAATAACGCAGCCAAAGAAAAGACGATTGCAATGAGGTTATACGGATCAATACCTTTCGCACCAAGTAGTCTCGTAAACAATGCAGATGAGTATCCCTGATTGAGAATGACTAATGCTGGTCGCGACGGTGTCATTCCATCAGGTGAAAACATATGCAGATGCGCGGATAAATGATCGAATCAAATTGGCAAATTCTGTCAAACAAATAGTAATCATGAGTAACATGTAGAATGACGACGTGGAGCATAAGAGTACGAGACCCTGAGGGTACATACCAATATTTCAGAGTAAGTCATATGGGTCATGAAGTCGCAGGTCATGTCTCGTTCTCGAAAAGCTTCCTCAAGCCCCGGATCTCGAATGCTTGACCCATGCATCGTGATAAGAATGATGTGTTTCAGGGACAGAGGTCGGATAGCAGGATTATCTTTCATCAAAGCCAAAAGTCTAAACCAGTCGTTTTTTGATGATTCATAGTTTGTGATGAAAACTTCAACTTTCTCAAAAAATGCCCATCGTAACCAGGGCTGATTTCCGTGTCCAATGTTAAAGTAAGTACATTTCATGATGCGGAGATTTGGAAAAGGTTGACCGAGGATGTCGTGAGGTAGAAGGTTAGGCACTGTATCGATTGACAAGACATGGAGTGATTCCCTGAGGACAGACACAACACAGGCGGCTTCGTCCGCATCATCCCCAGGTGGGCAATATTCGAGAAATTTGATTGATTTTCCCCCACATCCGACGAAGTTCGTTATGGCAGCAAGGTTGTAATGATCACCGAAGAAGTAAAAATGTTGCAAATTGGCTAAGGAGCCCTCAGAGACATTCAATCCCCCCAGGGATGCGATATTAAGCGAAAGAGATTCCAAGGACGGGATATTATTCAAGAAAGCAACCAAAGAGTCAGAGTCATTTGCAATGCGTTGTGAAGCGCTCCCGCTGATGATGAGGATCTTGAGGGCACACATGTTCAGAATGATGTTGATGACGCCATCGAAGAAGCCAACTGCACCGACAAAATGTAGTTTCAAGTCGGTTAGCGACTCACTACACATACTGAGAATACTCTGAAGATCTGCCATATGAACCACATCAGCTGCATAGGGATGATTGTTTGATGCGACCACAGGCGTTTGATCAATTTTGGACGAATTGGAGCTTTTGAAATAGGATATGTGTCCAATACTTAATCTTCGGAGCCGATTCATTCCCGAGACTAAAAACGTATCATCTTTGCGTTTGATGAGCTTCGAAGACATGGCTGCACAGTGTAAATTAAGATCTCGGAATGCATAAGACGAAGCAGCAGCATTCCAATCCCTGGCGACGAGACGTAGTTTTAGGAGAAATTGTAGTGAAGTTTGATTGGGGTAGCCTCGGTCGGTGGTATTGATGTGATGGGCAAGAGTTGTTGGGCAGTCATCATGGAAGTACAAGAAGATAAGATCCAGAACTTCGGGAGGGAGGCGGGTATCGCAAGTCATGAGTCAAAGTTGGTTGGCGGAATTGATGTTGTATAGTAGGAATCAAGATAAAAGACAATATATAGACTAACAACGGAAAAGTTGTCAGTTGCTAAACATGATCCCACATTTCACACTTTTGGTTGGGGAAAACGCAAGAATTAAGATATTCAGCTCACCATGGTTCGGGAGGAATATTTTGGGGCTTAATGAGAGGTTGGGGTGAGGTTAAACGTTCGATGAGTAGTGACACTACATGTAGAAAGTTGAGTAAAGTTGGATGTTGGTTGTTGGGCCCTTGAGGATCGATAGAATGTCTTCATGCAAACTTGGTTGCAAATGACAGCATGGGGAATGAGATCAGTGAGTACACCAGATATGATGGACAAAAGACTGGGATAGCAGAAAAGATGTAACTTAGTCCTTGAAAAATTTAAAGGCCAGAGGATAAAATGGTACAAGGGGATTGGAATAGCTCATGCGCGTGCAGGTGGTGCTGCAGAGCGCCAATTATAGTCGTAATCTTGAAAGATTCTAAAAAGGAAATCGAGGCCAGCTTGCTAGCTTTGTATCATATGTGATTATATGTTCAACTCTATGTAGAACATCACTGAGGGATATAATTGATCATGCGATGTGCTACCAATCATCAGTGTTAAGGTGATTGCAAGGCGCACAGTGCAATGCTCAGGGCATTATCACAGAGACCCAAGGCAAAACAGTGTCTCATATATACAAAACAGGGAGTCATAGCCTCACTTGACAAATAACATGAAACATATGATGCGAAGCACTTGTTATTCCTACTACACATACGTGTCATTAATTGGGGGCGTAGGCATCAAAGATTGATGAAGAAAAGAAAAAAAGATTATTGGACAAAGGGAGGAAAGGAATACAGTGACTTGTAACCAAATTGATTAAGGGAGCATAAAATGTAAGATGTAAATTGAAAAAAAGCGGATAAACCTCGTTGCTTTTTCATTGGGAAAAGCCAACTGTTTTCTTTCCCTTGGTTTTAGGCGGAGCGCGGGATCTCTTCTTAGGCGGTTCGTCAGGTGCTTGCAACGAGCCAGGCACACTGCTAGACGTTGAGGGTAACGACAAAGCAGGCGATGAGTCCATGCCAGAATTTCCTGCAGACAGAGAGCCACCGCTAGAACGAGATGACACGGTTCGTGAAGAGCTTAACCCAGGCATGGGTGAGACGAACGGGGAGGAGACAGGTCTGGACACAAACCTGCATAATTATTGTCAGTAATCAGGGGCGAGCGGAGAGAGATCAAAATGGATCACTTTGAGGGCTTCTTTGAGGGCATCCCATTAGTAACCGACTTGCCCTTGGCTCGAGGTGTTACGTCTTGAAAGCCGCTTGTCATGTACAACTTATTGGCCTGCCAAGACATACGTCAGATCCGGGCTTTTCAGAGAACCAGAAGAGGGTACTTACGACGGCCACATAAGAGTTTGTTTTGACATTGAAGTCCTTGATGAATCCATGTATCATACACTCACGTCCATTCCTGAGAAATGTAGCAATGCGAGCGAGGTTAGGAGTCGGCCGAACAAGATATTCTACTTTACTCATGTGAGTTGTTTTATCCTGGGAATCTGGATCAGCAGAGCGCATCGAGGAAGACAAGTTGAGAAACTTACGATTGGGTTAACTTCACAGTGTTGCAGTGTGACTACTGTCGTTTGTAAATCTGCATCTTGACCCGTTTTCTTCAAATACTGACAACACTTTTCAACAATATGACCTATATCAACTACAATACCTAAACCTGAGATGCCAATTGTGTCGACCGAATCGGCCTCAAAGTTATCAATGGAAGCCACCATTGGGGCATCATTAACCTCAAAAACTAATCGATCTTTCTCAGTGTCAGGTAGGTTTGTAGGGAAAAAAGAGCCTCGGAGGAAATAGGTGTGGTCTTGGAATAGTTTGTGTTCATCGGTGGCCAGACCAGTTGCTCTAATCTCGTAGAGCAACCTGGCATCTCGGTCAGCCCCTCGGCAACCAATCGAGACTGCGAAAGTAGTATACTCGGGGTCGGGGTGGCAGGGGTTATTGGGGAAATCTGGATCCAGAGAAATGCGGCAGGGTTCAACACAAGTTTACCAGCTGATCAAGGAGGAAGCAGATCGAAAAGACACCAACCCTCTTTTCAATTTCGAAGTTGCCAGATAAATAAATGCTATGGTGAGTGGGGTGGCGATGCGCTCGACATATTGGCTGGTGGAAGCGAAATTGAAAAAAATCAATCCTTAGACCTCATTCTTTACAGTGTATGCCGTGCAAGAGGCACTTAGCGCGGTAATGTTTATTAATATTCAATACACTGTAGCAATCATGCTATATATTCTACACGCCAAAAGTAGATTTCTATTTCAAAGTGAATCCAATGCCTGAATCATCGTGGACAAAGAAGGGTCGGGGTTGATGTTACACATCGCTTCACCTTTTTCGCCAATACCTTCAAGGAATTGTGGCGAGTAGCAATCCTTGGAAAGTCCATCGGGTGCCTCAATACGGCTTTCTGGTGCATTGTTGCGGCGAATACGGGGGCGCGCTGGACGTCCGCGCTGCGGCGAGCTCGAGTGTCCTGGAAGGCTCTTGTCTTGCAGAAGTTTTCGTGCATCCAAGCGAAGGAAGATACTCTCGAGTGCCGCACTCCGCCAAGGTAGTCGACTGGCACAAATCGGACCCTTACCCGGTATCAAGCACTTACCCTCTTCTACATCCGTTTCATCTTCACTACAGGCTACCTCAATGAGAGGTAGAAGAGGCCATAGCTTTTCCTCTTCGAGCGCAATCTTTGTTCGGGCCTTTCGTAACTGCAAAGGAAGGGTTCTAAAGTGAGTGATTGTTCAACTACTTTCCACAGATTCCAAAAGTAGACCTTACACGACACAGTCGTGTTGCACGTCTGGTATCTCTAGTTGCAGATTGCTTGCGCTCTTCACTCCAATTCTGCTTACGGTATCTGGGAAGCATATGCCATTGTATCAGCGTTGGGTATATGGTTAGTTCAGAATAAATGTACCCTTTTACCTTTTCATCAGACTCTGTATATGTGTTGAGAAACACTGTTTTATGTATGAAATATTTTCCGGATCCAAAGACACTCCAGTATAGACTCCTAGCTGAACAAGCTTGAAGAAGATTTTTTCCGAAAGACCCCACAAGTATTTGTTTTCTTTTGAAGTCGGTGATGCGGCCAGGTTTGGTCGAAAGCTCTTGATCCGTGCTGCCTTCATCAGCTGCCACGTGACTGACAGTTGTTGACGAGTTGCTTTCTGATGTCCAGGTCCATCTGGATATGGGAAACACGGGTCTATCTGAGCATTCTGATTCAAGGGTTCGGATGGCTGATGAATGTTGACGTCAATTGTATCCAGGTCCAATTCACAATCCCATCTCTCCTGCTCTTCGGTGCTAGCTGGAGGAGGGAGAGGATCAGACTCCGCGTGCAGTCCAAACATCATTTCAACATGGAATCGAATACGTGCCTGACAAGAGCCGAAATAGTATGAGCTTCCACTCCTTGATTTGAACTAGTTCAGGAAAGATGAGCACTGCTTACCGCTGTTCTTCCACCACCGGGCTTTGCTTGAGCATCTACTTCACCAGTAGACCCCAAACTCTTTCTTACAACTTTAGTCAAACTCTTCAATTCAGATTCAAGTACATCAATCCTTTTGTTTGCTTTGAGCAACAAACCTCTCATTTCCATCCACGACTTCGTGCTTGGTTTTTTAAAGAAGCCGGTTCCAGAAGCTGTTGAATATGAAACTGATCAGCAAGTTGTATTTTTTAACACGAGCAAGAACTCACCTTCTTTATCTGGTTTCTCGCTTTCAAACTCCATGTCAGACCCCACACCTTTTGTTTCTTCATTTCCATCTCCATTGCTTTCAACATCTTGTTTGTCAAACATATCGTCTTCTTCAGGCACATACTCCACATCAGAGTCTACGCGCGCTCGCTCTTTACCTTTTTTGGATGTTGAAGGTGACGACTGTGATAGAAAAGTTGGTCGGGGTCGAGGGTACAAATATCTGCCATGTTCTAAACTCGGAATCAATGTATCTGAAGGCTTGCCAACATTTGTACCGCCAGTCAAACCATCTAGGATAATATAGTAAGAAAGTTAAACCTCGTTTTTGCAATGTGGGAACATATACTTACCTTGAGACTGCGACTTGCACCCACGCATAGAGGATTCAGGTGTTAATGTTGAGCCGGGCTGTGTATCTTCTGGTCCGAAACAACCCTTCATCAGCTGGGGTTCCATTCATAAAGCTGGGAGAAAGAAAGTAGAAACAAACTTCGAGCTACTGCAGACGACGTTACTTCAAAGGCACAAGGTCCTTCCACACCGGAGATTTCCATTTGAGACGCCGGCTGGGATGACGACTGGATTGGCGGCTGTGGCTGTTGTTGACCCAAATTTGTGGGTAGAACAACTCAGAACCCAAGAAAGTTAGTATGTTTTGTTTCTTTCGTAGCATGTTTGTTGAAGTAGAGATAGCTGAAGCTCACTGAGATCTTTGTAAAAATCACACGTTCCTACTAGTTCAGCTTTGTCCATCCCGAAAGTGTCGATGCCAACATCATGCAAGCACCTGCACACTTAGGTAAGTACCTAATAGCATTAGGCCATAAGGACGTACTTATCGCCCAATGGCATTCGACCCTACACTGCCAAGATGAAGTTAGATCTTGAGGAGCATCTTGGAGGGATCTCGAAAAGGCAAAGTCCGATTTTCCCTAAGGGAGACCACCCCACCTCAAACTCCCCTTTAAATACATACACCACCTCAAATCAAAATCTACCACTGTAGCAGGAGACTGTACGCCTCAAAGTAAACTTTTAAGTACATACACCACCTTAGCAGGACACACACCACCCCAAGACATTCATACCCATCCACAAAATCTGCACCCTTTCACCACATTTCCACCTCCTCACAAGTATCTACCCTTACAAAACCAAAACTCACCGACCCCTTCAACCTACCCTCCTCGAACAAATTCACACCTCCTTTAAAGCTACACCTACCACCTCAACACCTACCAACCCACAACATACATACCCGCTCTCACCTCACATCTTGTACAAACACACCATCGAAGACAAAAGCCCACCCCAAGGCATACACCTTACCGGTGACATACAACACCGAGGACTGAAATCCACCACATATCAAAACTTACCCGGTGGTGCACAAGTATCACATCTCATCCTTGCAAGACCGCTTTTAAGACAAAAGCGTACAAAACCAACCTCAAGCCTCAGTCACCCTCTACTGGCCAAGCCAAAGGTGAAATAGTCCTATTGATATCGTTACCCTATGCAAGTCTCATAGATAATTGACAAAAAAAGAATTATCATTATTTTGAACGTTTCAAACGATACGATCATGAACGTTTCAAACGATACGATCATGGACGTTTCAAACAATCATTGTTACAACGTTTCAATACATTATGGCCATGCGATTAAACTTACAGAAGGTGGGTAATCTGATGGTGGGTGTTACAAGTAAACATGTGTGTGATACGAATACAACGGGTACCAAAGTCCACCCGGAAACAGCGGGTATACCCTCATCGCATGTTTTTGACAATACCCCCTCACCCAAACCTGCCCCCTGCACCCTCAAAAACCCCACCCACCGCCACCCTAGTCGTACACAAGACAAAACTGCACTTCCAACACACAGACTTTTTATGTAAATAAAGACATAACACGACTTCGCCCATCCCCATGGCCAACCACAAGTTGGTCGCACCCAACCATACCAGGAAGGACGCTAGGTTACCTTATACACACTAGGTACGTCCTGCCAGTATCACCAAACCTTACCCCATTTGTCAGAATTCAAACTAACCCACTCTCTCGGCATTACACCTTGTTCATCAATTCACAGTTCATCAAGGTTACAGACACCAATCCAGTCAAGTACAGCCATGGCGCCTACACGATCCAGTTCACCAAAGGCCCATGACTCACCTCCTCCCCCGGCGCCTGGACCTCGCCGAGGAAATCGACTCAGAAAGCCGAGATCCACGGGGATTGTGCAACGCCAAGGTCCGCACAAACTCCCCTTATTAACCTTCATGTCTACAGACTTTGGAGTTCACGCTGACTTACGCTTTGTACATTTTCAATATATATATTCAATTGGGTTTCAGTCGGTGTAACAGACCCACAAGAAAACTCTCACTCTGAGGATTCCGCGCCATCACAAAGTAAGTTACGTATAGCCGTCCTGCTGTGACCTGCGTGGAAGGCCTTGGAAGCTGAAATTTGTCCGGTTAGACGGTTCTGCCGATGACTCTTCCGCAGGCGAAGGTACAGACTCCGACGACTCACACTCCAAAAGTCGTGACAGCAAAGAAGGTAACGCCTCCAAAATTTCACCCTGATTCACATAACTTCCCCCAAGTAAGGATTTGCAGTTGATAGTTTTGTTCAGATTCAGATTCCGACAAATCACACTCCAAAAGTCGTGACAGCGAAGAAGGTAACACCTCCAAAATTTCACCCTGATTCACATAACTTCACCTAAGTAAGGATTTGCAGTTGATACGTTTGTTCAGATTCAGACCTAGATCCACCTCCTGTCCCAACAAAAAAGCGAAAGAAACGTTCAAAAGCAATCAACACGGTTGTTCAATCTCATCATACAGACCTCCCAAACCCAAACCCACCTGCCATTCCAGTTGACGTGCACGGGCTCCGCCTTCCCAAGAGCCCCCCAGTCAAACCAACGCTAGAGAATTATAAAGAGCTGGCAGAGACATGGAGCGAACTCGAGCTGCAGCATTACCTTTTGTACACCAAGGCCGAGGGCAATAACCGTATCCCTAATCCTATCCTCAACGAAGCAAGAGCGCTTGAAGAAGAACTCACCACTCGCTTGCAAGTCTTGAGCATTGCAGGGGGGGTATCATATGACACCCTTAAATACGGAGTGTTAAGTTATTTTTCTTTTTTCCTCACGGAATTCTCGATATAATAGTTGATATTTTTCATCCACATTCACAGTCATCGTTTTGCCCGCGAGAAACACATCAAGCCTTACAACCGATTTCGCAAATTCAGCAAGGCCGCGACAATCGACAACATTAGTAAGTTCTTATTCACTATCAGTCACAGGAGGGCATCGCACCACTGAAACTTGTTCCCCATAAGTGCCCCCAATAGACGATCTGCCAGGGTTGGCGACATACAATGACAATGTTTGTGCGGTCTGGCGAGCAATCAAGGACTCATCTGATCTCGAGGTTTTTCAAAATCCTCTGTTCCGTCGCATTGCCTTGGTTATCTCTAACGATCCCGCCGACATTCAACCCCACGAACACCTTTCTGCTGAAGAGGAAGAGTTCCGTCCGACCTTTGAACGGCTTATCAACCTCAAGAAAGTGAAAGACGAACTCGCACTCAGTCGCAACGTCACTCAAATTGCTAAGTTTCAACAAAAGGGAATTAGTGAGATAGAAGACATTCATACCACGGTAACGCCACACTTTTCTCTGCACTATAACCAACATCATAAATTGATACATATGTTTTGATCATCAGCTTCAGCTTGCTTTCAAGACTTACGGTATGCACTACCACCTCCTCGCGGCCTCATGGAACCCTTCAACTACAAACCCTTATGCTGGATGGAGTAAGGAGTTCAGTTCCGACCCCATCTACCTCAGTTCTTTCTCATTCAGCAATCATATACTCGAACGATTTGACCGTTTTGTCACCGGTCGTGTCAAAACTCGCGGTTCCAATACAGCAGCAGTAGCTCCAAATGACCAACTTCGCAAAGACTTCACCCTGAGCTTGAATCAGCTCGTCAGTAAGTTGAAACTTCTTACTGCAACTGTAGGCATCATGGATAACTGATCATGATCCCACTGCAGATGACCACCTTAATCAAGTTAATCCCAAGCTCCTCAAGCCACGCGTACACATACATCCAAAAAAACCAAACTGTGATATTCGATTGCGCACCATTGAGTTTCCAACCGGCATTCGACTCGAAGTTCGTCGCACTGCCGATTCCCAAGTCACCCCGCAGATGCTGGCAATGGGCCCTGCCGCTATCATGAATGACAAAAGTATGATGCAGATTTGGTATAATGATATCTTAGCCCGACGTTACCAAGTGGTTATCTCACCGCCAAAACCCATGTAACAACATCACATCCTTCCTCCTACCAATTCAATTTAGAAACCGGAGGAAGATTTTCCAAATCCTTTTGTCATCTTTAGTTGTCCATCAAAAGATTTTCCACAACTCTTTCCTTCCTCAGAAAATAATCATTGCAATGAAACAACAATCACAGTACCAGATTTTGTTCTCTAGGTCAAGTAAGATAAATTGGCCACATTGTGAGATCTCAAATGGGCAATGAGAAGTCGAACTCGAGAAGACAATACAAAGTTGTTATGACTCCCAATACAGCATTAAAACCGCAAGTAAATCAGCGAGAGATCATGTTTTTCATGGCTTTTATGTCTATCTGCTCACAGAATCACCTTTATGTGCAAGGTCTGGGTGCGTGATGTACTCCAAAACTTTCATACATTTGAACTTACATATGTTTGGGGTTTTCATCTCATTTGGTAAGTGCATATCCTCCTCGTGCGCTCGATGACACTCTTAACTTATCCAAATCCTTGGTTGACCAAATTGGTAAGCAATCTGGGGAATACTAGAACAATGATGTTTGTATCCGATCATATCCTTTCCCCTCCTAACTCGACTCGACCGATCTGACCAAATTGATTCTATTCGTCTAGGTATGGTCGTACCAGTAGGTTTGATCAACCTACCGATACATAGTAATAAACCGAAGTACCGATGTGGGTTCCTATGTACCGGTAGGATTGATGAGCCTACTGATACATAGTGGTATACCTAGGTTTATTAAACCTATGTACCGGTTGGGCTGATAAACCGACCGATACATAGGTTTACAAACCTACCGATACATAGGTTTACCATCCTACCGATACATAGGTTTACCAACCTACCAATACATAGTAGTAAACCTAAGTACCGGTAGGTCTAACAAACCTGTTCATACCTTTGAGAACTGTACCGATCGACATGTGATCGGTACAGCTCATGTCGATCGGTACAGCTACGTACCCTCACCCTTTTCCTGATCCAACGTACCCAGTCGAGCCCCTGCCCTCCCACCTGGAAAACCCTACCGAAGCATCGACACACACTCACCATGCAACAACTCCAAGCGCCACCTCTGAACGTCGTTGGCTCCCTTCCTGAAGCAATGGTTCGTTCATTTTATCCACCCTCATTTCATGCAATATCTCTTGCGCCAGGTTTCATCACTTTTAGCCGGATCTATGAGCTTGAAACCTGTGTAAGCATGCATTCAAGGCATCCGGATGTGCTTCTGAATGCATGAAGCAAGAGAATTGCCTTGAGAACTGTTGCTGACCCATTGTTTCCTTTTTTTCTATTTCATCATACCCAATCAAATTGGCCGTCACAATCAAGCTTGATAATCAGGCTGAGCCCAAGGAAGCTGGATACGAATCGGACCTAACCGACCTTGAGGATATCGAACCCCCTCGAACAACCATGCCCAGGTCAGAGGGCTATACAATTCGTTAATCTGGCATGCACCTGATCCTCATCTCTCTTACAATTACTAGCAGCAACCCGAAACCATCTCCTCCTTGCAAGAAGGTCAACGCGCCTAGCCCCAAGCCATCGAAGGGCAAACGTCCTGGCAAGAAACCAAAGCCTCGCACCCACGAGATTCCACAACACCTAAGGCCTGATATCCCAGCTCACACGTTTCGCAGCAAGAATCGGCGTCGTTCTATCGTGGCTCACTACCTCCACGGGGTTTTTGAGAACGCCAGGGTCATCCATGCCGACTTCGACATGGCGGTTGCTTTCTTTTTGCAACAGGTCCATCATCTCAACCTCGGCGATATCCCCATCAGCGTCAACACGGTCCTGGCCGACTTTTCGGTCCTTGAGCCTCTGAACGGTCGTCAAGACAGTATTCTTCTCTGTGCACATCACATCAGACGCACTCTTGACGAGTATGCAGCTTGTCCTCGTGGCCCCAAGCCATTTGCACTTCGATTTCCCAACCTTACATCCCTCAATCAACTAGCAATTGAACGGTCCATTTCACCTGAGGTCGTAGGAAAGGACGAAGCCGTTGTGCTTATTGATTTGGCCGGCCGCGTGGCTGCTGTGGGCATTCCACCCAAGGTCAGCAAGCTTGCAAAGACGCTTAGCGGTCAGGTAGGTCTCTTTGTTTTATTGGCCATTGGTCATTGAATCAACTTTGAACTGATATTCATTTATCGCTCCATTCGCTTTGTCTTGTTCTTTCAAAATTATCCTACTTCCCCCTCCTCATATGCGCAGGAACGCGGATGCATTGCTTTTTCAGGCGCCGCGGTGGTCCACGATGCACCACCGTTCATTGGCCCCATGACTTGGGAGACGTTCCAGCGCACTTCCCATCCACCGCCTCCAATTGTGCAGAGTCCATACCAGGTATCTGAAACTGCAAGCACTCGACTAAGCGGTGCAGCTGCCAGCATGATCAACATACCTGGTACAATCAATGGTGCGTTGCCATCCCAGGAGGTTGGCTACGGTCGTTATTCTGTCAGTAGATCCCATTTACCTCCTTAGTGCCTTCACCTTTTTTTCAATCTTCAGGCTCTGCGGTTTTTCCCATCAACGCTAACAATACTTAAATATCCGCAGAACCTCTCCGCAGGCATGTCGGACACGCAGATGCAATTAGGGCTCAATCGGCAGGGCCACCCTTCTTCTGGGTGGGAACATGCCGATGTGAGCCATTACAACCTTCCTACTATCATTCAGATGGGCAAGGACACCGCATATAAGTGTGAGGAACACGAGCGAACGACTTCCGAATTGCTGTGGTACCTGGAAATGGGACGACTCATCATCAAGTCCATCCAGCCTCATTCTTACTCGGCCGCCATGGCCGCCGTTCGTGTCATTGTACAGAAGGGAACGCCGGCGGCATCACGGGAACTGAAGAATATGACCAACCCCCTCGGAATCGGTCAGTGCTGCTTATCCTGGTTAAATATAAACCTTAACTTACCCATCTGAACACTGGCAGGCAGGCACGTGATGTTTGGCATGCAAGTTGATCATCATCGAGATGGAAACAACGCATGCCTTTTCGCCTCCGCCAATTTTTTTGGCGAAAACTACGGCGGTGGCGAATTGATCCTCAATTACCTAGGCTATGCGATTCATGGAGGCCCGGGCTATTCGGTCCATGGTGCATTTGACATACTTATGCATGGAGTAGGTCAAATCACACGTCTGCCAACCACCGAAGGCCAACCTCTTCAGCGAATCTGCATGGCAATCTACAGCCATGCAGATGTTTTCGCTGGAGCTGCTCGTTTTGCTGGAATGCAACAAGAGCCTAAGCTATTTAGCGACCGTCGCCTTTGGATTCCTTTTTATCCAGCAGGCTTCTCTCTCACTCAGATGCTTCAAATCCTCAACAATGAAGAAAAGCGCTTGCATGAAAAGTATCGCCAGGAGGTTCGAGCTTACAAGGCCGCATTAAAAGCAGCGGAAGAAGCAGCAAAGAAGTGTGGGGCCTTGAATTACATAGGCGATAATAACTTTTTGATGCTCAGTAAGCGGCCCTCTTCCCCTCATTTCATCTTCATTTCATTTCACTTGAGCAGAGTTATCATTTCTAATGAAGTTGATTGATGCGACCATCAAATCATTTAGGAATGGATCAAGAGAAGCAAGGTTTTAAGAAGTAGGAATCATTCGAGATAAGTGCCTCTTGGATTTGTGCTAGAGCAGTGTAAAGTTTGCCTAGCCGATATCATTAATAAGAGAAGAATCTCTTGCGATCATGCAAACAAAATGATATGAGTTAGTTATTTACAGATTGTTTGTGTTTGTTGCTGAATCCAATTGAGCCACCGATGCGTGGTTGCTTTGATTGATCATGCAATAAAAATACTGTGAGTTGGCCATTTACAGATATAAAAAATCTGATGCCCCACTCGTTCCAATATAATGAGTAGTTTGCCTAATTTTTGGCCCGGCATGACCGGCTTAAAATTACCACGAGTTTTTGTGCTCCTGCATGAAACAGACTTCGTTTTGTGAACAACACAATTTGATTAAAACAAATATATATGTATGCATTATGTTCTTGGTAACTGTCCATTTGTGCATGGAACAAAATCACCGAACTTTCTAAATAATTAGAGCCCCAATAATGTTGTGGTCAGATGATGTCAACAGCTGCAAATTTAGAGATGTGCTTCATTCTGACCAAAAGGTTGCAGGTTTGGACATCAATGGGCCAAACTGAGACAGATTACCTGCAATTTTAAAATTCCAACCTATTTTCGAAGGTCGACACTTAGAGCCATGGTCAAAATTGGATGATGAAAAAGGCCAGCTGAACAAAGTGTCATCCTCAATGGACTTGTAAAGTGTCATCCTCAATGTACTTGAAAAGTGTCATCCTCAATGTATTTGCGTTTTTGTGTCATCCTCAATGTATTTGGGTTTTTATTATAGGTGAGTGGGAGAGAAACCCCCGGTTTTCTCCAATGAATTAATTTGTGAGGTTGAAGTTGTAGGTTTATGGCAAAAAGTCAATGATGAAAAATTTTGGTCATGCAGGAGATAATATTTTACAAATAAGCATTTGCCCATTTTCCCACTTCTTCAATGAGGTTGAGTGGTTTTGTATGTGAGGAGAGAAACCCCCCTGCTTTTCAACAATTCATCCAGGGGTATTCTGGAGATCTATGGCTAACATTCAATAAAGAAAACTTTATTGCATGCAGGAAAGCATATTTAACAAAGAATCATTTGCCCATATTCCCACATCCTCAATGTAATTGCGTTTTTTTAAAAGGGCAGTGGTGGAGAAACCCCCGGTTTTCTCCAGTTTCCTCCAATGAATTAAATTTCAAGGTTGAAGTTGTAGAGAAATGGGAAAAAGTCAATGATGAAATCCTTCAGTCATGCAGGAGAGAATATTTTATAAATAAGCATTTGCCGATTTTCCCTCATCTTCAATGAGGTTGAGTGGTTTTGTATGTGATGGGGAAGAGAAACCCCCTTGTTTTCAACAATGATCTAATTTTCTGAGGGTGAATGGGTAGAGCTATGGCTAAAAGTCAATAATGAAAAATTTCCGTCATGCAGGAAAGCGTATTTAACAAAGAATCATTTGCCCATATTCCCACATCATCAATGTATTTGCACGTATTTAAAAGGTGAGTTGAGTGGGAGATAAACCCCCAGTCAACTCCAATGAAATGATTTTGGAGGTTGAAGTTGAGAGATATGGCAAAAAGTCACTAATGAAAACTTTATGTCATGCAGGAGAGAATATTTTACATATAAGCATTTGCTTGCCCATTTTCCCACACCTTCATTCAAAGTGTTTGAGCATAAAGTTGAGCATATGTTGCATCAGAAACCTTGTAATGGCCTTTGTGATAAATTTCACTGCCCTATTGTTGGAAACTTTGTCACTCAACATATCAAAGACCTCCAGAATGTCAGAATTTGGCATAATGATTCTTATGACAAATATGCTTTCCTTTACTGCGGACATTTTTTATTAAAGAATTTTTGCCATAGCGCTACATCATCACTTTCAAAAAAGGACTTCAATGTAACAAAAGGGGGTTTTCTCTCCCGCTCACAGACAAAATCCCCCCAAACTCATAGAATATGTGGGGAAATGGGGAAATGCTTCTCTGCAAAATATGCTTTAGCGCATGATGGAAATTTTTCATTAATGACTCTGTCATTGCTCTACCCCTTCACCCTCAAAAAATAAATTCATTGTTGCAAACTGGGGGTTTGTCTCCCACTCACATACAAAAACCACCTGATTGCTGCAGTGAGTGTTTGGGTTATGTCCACAGAGGTTTCACATACACTCTACAATGTAAGTAGTGTGGAAGTTATTCCTATACTCTCATCACAGTTTATAGCGTATCTTCATTGCTCTGAAGAGGACATTGCAAGAAGATAAGATGTTTTCTCCATATGACATATATCATAATCTCATATGCCAACCAAAAACTGAAGTGACAATCGCAAGTAATCCATAGTTTAAGCATGGTTTGTTTGGGGTCCAGTACAAGTTCTGTGTTCAAGTACAAGGTCTGTGTTCAAGTGCAAGGACTTTCAAGAGAAATGCCTTGTTTATAATTACATTATAAATCCTCATCATGGTGTGGTATGCGCGCCTAAGTGAGAGATCTCTCAAGTTGCGGACACTTTGACTGACACTCTAAGCAAGCAGATAATAATGTTTTTGACATGGAAAGGTCTTATTTCACAAAGGTGACCACAAGGTTGCATTGAGGTTGCATCACAGAGGTTTCCATGCCGGAGTGTTGAAGTTTTGCTAACTTATCAGGAAACAGATGACTAAGAAGTTTCAAGAATGACATTCATTTGGCAAAACCACATGGAACATTACGTGTTTTACAAAGTTACAATGTGGTTGTTAAAAATGTAACTTTGGGCCATTAGAATCAAGATGATCTGATGAATTATTACTCAAAATTTTAACAATCTTTGAAATTTTGAGTAAGGCATTTCATTTGGCAAATGTTTATAAAGACTATGTAATGGTTGATCTTATTCACATGGAGCATTTTATGCCTTACAAAAATACATTGTCGTTGCTAAAAATGTCACAAGATGATTGTTGCTAATAAACTATGTTTTCAACGATATTGGCAATTTATAAATATTGTAACATTTCTCCATTCATGTTGTATAAAATTTCATAATTTAACAATATTGGTAATTTATAAATATTGTAACATTTCACCATTCATGTCGTAGAAATTTTCATAATACAGGTCTTCTGCTTCCTCGTACATGTCAGGCTCTTCAGCTTGGATCATTGGCTTAGAGGCCAACGTCTTCCACTCTTGATCAGCCCAAGCAGCAACCGTTCGAAATTTCTCTTTCAAAATTTCATCTTGGGCGTTCTGACCATGCACATAAGTTGCTGTTTCTTGAATCTGCTGTGGGAGGTCTCGTCCCCATTGTTTCCATAACTTGCAAGCTTGCTTCTTCACAATTGTATACAGGGACATTAATCTACTACGGACCACTCCAACCGCTGGTAGGAACATGACGCCCATGATGTCAGTTCCATGGGACCTCAGTTATTTATAGGACTGGGACGCTCACCCCGAGTGACCTTAACGCCGAGGGCAACGACTCGGTCATAGTAAAGATTTGCCCAGGCAGTCATTTGCCGAGCTTCGCGACCAATTCGACGTAGCTCCTCACCTGCGCTTCGTCGTGATAGGAAATTCTCAATGCCCACTCGATTGATATCTTCGTCTTCCCCATCTACGGGGTCAAGTTCCCCTCGATTCCAAAAGGGATCATCCAATGACATTGCCATTACACGCGCCAGGTCTGGCGCATCGGGTTGCACAGCGTCTGAGAAGTCTAAACCATATTTATCAACCCGTCTCATGTAAGTATTGTACTTGTCCCGCACATTCCTTGTCTTATCGCCCAGATGTTTGGCAAGGTACTGCTGTAGGCGTGCCCCTGTAATTGATCCATGAATGCGTCCCTGCGGTGAATCATTCATTGTTGGTGTGAGTTATAATTCAAAAAGCTTACCTGAATGGCGATGACGACGTAGCCTGGCTTCCACAAGCCCCACTTTAGCTTCGTAAAGGTTTCCTCGCGCAAGTGAGAGTGCCAGCAGGGCGTTTTTCTTATTCTCTGTTGTTAGTGGATACCGGTTCAAGTGAAGGATTGTGATGTAAATGATGAAATTATGCACAAATGTCTAAAAGGTTACTTACTGGTCACGCCAGCGAGTTCTCGAAACTCAGCACCCCCAAGGGCTGTTGCCATTGCTTCGATTTGCTCTTCAATGTTGGCCACTGTCGCCGGTAAGGACAAAAGTTCATTTCGATCGGCTTCGGTTCGAGCTCTTCTGCGTTTCTGTTGAATGCCCTTGAGGCGATCCCTGAAATGACATAACATAACATGACTTCATCAAGAAACAATGATGACCACATATATGTTGCCCACTTACCGAGCCAAAATCAGTTCCTCTTCCAAGGCCAGCATAACCTGGAGACGCTCCCTCTTTTCGTTCTGAGATTCGGTCATGACGTCCAGCTGACGCGTTCTTTGTTCGATCCACTTGTTCTCAAAGAAGGCAACGTCGCGTGCACAATTAGCCGCTGCTATGTCATTGAGAACTTGTTCGGCTTCTTGAAGCCGAGTGATTGCCTCCTGTTTCTTGCGTTTCATGTGTACCACTGAATTCACAGTTGGAAAATCAGCATCCAAAACTACAATGAACATACCATCAGACAGACCTGATGAGTGACGCAGGTGCGCGCGGTGGTGAGAAGCCCGCATATCAATAGCATCCACGCGGTGCTGTTTCGTGGAATACCTCTCCGCGCTAATGAGCGCGTCCAAAGAAGACCAGACGCGCTCTGAACCTTCGCCATCGGAAAGACCCCATCCGCAATTCAACCTGGGATTCCACTGTAGTTGACAAGACCAACGATGCACGTAGGCGTGAAATACACTAGTGCCAAACCTGAGGCGTCCTAATCGTCGCTCTTCTTCAAACATTTTACGCTGATTGTCGCAAAAGGTAAATGTCAGTCTATGTGATGTTAAATGCTATCACATAGTGTGAAACTTACATTTTCGATGCCCTTTTCCATTGTGCAACCTATATCATATAGGAATCCAACCTTCTGATCCTCAGTCAAGTCCAGAAACCACTCAATCAACGCGTAGCTGTAGTGCAGCCTTGATGAACCAAAAGCATCAATTGAGACGTGAAGGATTAAATATCATTAAATATCATCAATTGGCAAATCACTTACTTCTCGCCACTCTGCACAATATTTGCAAATCGCAATGGGTGGTCATGGCGGCACACCATGACCATCAGACCTGTTTCGTCACAACCGCCCCAGTGGGTTTTGCCTCGTTGATCATTTGCAGCGGTGTGTTGATCGGCACAAGCATTCTAGCAAACATGAGAGGTATCAGCCATTTGCTTCTGAGAAAGACACAAGATTTTGAAGAACACTTACGATATCATCTTCAGTATGGCCTGCAAGACGGCCCTCCATGCGAGTGACTTGGGCTTCCGGCAGGAAGCTTGTCGGCATGACGGTTGTTGTCATAGCAGCTTTGTGTCCAGCCGCAAGATGGCGCCGATGCTGAAAGTTGCCATCGAGGCACACTACCAAGTCGGGTTCACCTTCCACGATGCTTTGGACTGGAGGGCCAAAGCATCGCGGGCAATTTTCTGCCAGTTTTTCACGTGATGATAGAGCGAGTTCGATATCCAAAGCCCTCTCGGTTGCGGTCACCATTTTCCGATAGGCATCAATTGCCCAACGGAATGGAGTATGCCAACGTCGAGGCTGACAGAACCCAAACCAACATATCATTAGTCGTTGGAGCGGTGTTTGGATTGAGGAGGGAAGAAGCAGGGAAGTGACATACCTGCTCGTTCTTGGTCAGCATCAAGGGATTGAAGGCGTCGAGGTATTCGTCCAGGGCTCGAGTCCAAGGCTCGACTCGGCTGGTGCAAAACTTCCACGTGATATGAAAAAAACGTAGCAGGCGGATGGAGAACGCAGTTTCGGGATACTTGGGAGACCCGCCGATGTATCCCATGTATATTAGTCTGCTTTGATCGCTTTCTTGGCACGGGCAGAACCTAACCTCGGCCTTCTGACGATCTGTGGGTTTTTAAAAGTCAGTAAATTCCCATCATGACATTTGTTATATTTTGATGAGACTCAGCTTACATATCAGATCGACAAGGTCAATTGCCCTGACTCGATACTGTGATGGGGGGCAATCACAGTGTGGCTTGAGGTCCAGCTCCCACTTTGTCGGATCGCCCCAGTCGGATGTCTGGAAATGACATTCTATGTATGCATAGAACATCTCCTGCGTGTATCGAGCCAAGAGACGAGCCCTTTCCTCTCGTTCCTCTTCGAGCCTAGCGCGCTGGATGTCATCTATAAATTCGGGTCGAGGTATAAAGTGATCGGCCTCTGGTTCAGGTCCTAAGCCCATATCCACTCCAGGTTCGACGTCGTGATCAGGAAGATTGGGGTTTCGTAACAGTGCTGGTGCCCCCTGTCGCGCGGCGCAAGCGGCAGCCATACGAGCAAAGTGCTTTGCTTGAGCTTCGGACTTGGGCGGCTTTGTCCAGTAAGGCTTAGCGGCTTTGAAGGCTTGGTGAACTCCTTTGAAGCGTGGCATGGTCAGAAGCGTGTCTGCAATCGTATCAGGATCAAGGTGACACAAGTCATGAGCCAATTACACTGCGACTGCACTATCGTTAAGAATGAGACGGTGGCGTACCAGAATGGGTCCTACGTTGGGTTGGCGACAGAGATTGATGTTTGTGGGTCAAAGGTCTGTGTGAGCTCGGTAGTTTAATGTTGGAGTAAAATACCGTCAAGTGAAAGTATCAAGCACGCCAACATTCATCAGCTGAAATTTTTTGATGAAATTTTAAAGTTGAAGACGGTATGACGTACCAGGTTATGACGATTTAGGATCAGCGTTTATCGACATCGATTAGACAATGTAGTGGCTAACTGAATTGATGAAGGGGAATGTGGAACGCAGTGATGTAGTTGCCTTCTCCGAATTTGGCTAGATTTAATCGCTACTGTATTTGGAAAATACAGTTATACTTGACGTGTATAAATAACTTACAGGGAGGTATGGTTATTATTAGGAATACTCAAAGCCATACGATAGATTTGGCATCACGCCTAGTGTCACGGACTTTAAGATACATATCACAAGATTCATCTCATATTCATTTTGAATTTGATGACTATGTTGTACTATTCAATTTTTGTAGAAGGAAATACAATACCTGAAAAATATAGTTCTATTCTGAGTCGGAAACAACAATGTGGTGAGAGGGAGAATACAACATAGGCTTCAGTGCGTTTAGTATAGGTAAAATATGATCTTGAAACAACATGAAATGAGGATTATACTTATGAACCCAGTCCTTTGCGTCGGGCAGTGCCAGATGTTGCCACTCGCTCCAGGGCTTAGGTATCGGAACAAGAGCTGGAGAGGGGGGCATAGAAAGAGACAGGAAGTGAAGGCCATGACGATCATAACATAGAAATATAGGTGAATTATCATTCACTTGACAGTCAAGAGGTAAAGCAGAAAATGATACTTGGTCACTATAGACACAGAAAATTCTTTTGTAAGCGGTAGCGATGATGTACAGCATTTGAGCCGAGTTGAGCCAGAGAGCAGGTGTATCAAGTACCTCTTCTCTGCGGGTTTGAATGGCGGCAATGTGATCGTCTACGTCCCCGTCACCTCTCTTGCGTGCTTTAAAGTGTAGATTGTAGAAATCTGATTTGGACCTTAGCTCAGCAATGAGTTCTTCGCGGACTGTGAGCCATTGGTCCTCGGAGCGGCCTAATGCCATTGCAATTGCCCGATAGCCACAATGGCCGTCAGGACGGGGGTCCCCTACTGATTGTACATAGTCGTGTAGCCAATGTGGAACTCGATTATCCTAATCCAATCAAAATTTAGCTGGGTACAACTTGCAGACTAGTAGGCGGTGGGAAAACACGTACACACTTTTTTTGTGTTGCGGGCTCGTGTAGACCGACGATTCCGGTCGCATGTGGAGTCCAGCTCGGTAGGATTCTGCCTAGTAGACCGACGAACAGAAGTGGTGCCTGTTGTTCTGGATTGGGCGTTGGTATTTGATCTGGCCCTCTTTTTGTTTTGCTATACAGTCAGTGAAGCAAATATGAGATAGGAGTCTCTAGAGTGCTTGCGTGAAATACTGAATATACTCACTGGAGGTTGAGATGAAACAAGTTCAGGTGCTACATTGACGATGGCGTTAGGACCATTAACGATGCTAGTTGTGTGTCGATCATGTTGCACAGGGCTTGTGAGAGGAAGAGGGGGGAGCAAGGTATCCAAGTCTTCTTGAAGTTGCTTCGCAGGGCTGGTGAGGGGGGGCAGCAAGGTATCTAAATCAAAGCTTTCATCCGCGTTGTTATCGACATGTGTAGATGTTTGGTCTGGAGAAGACTATGGAACAGATTGTGTCAGCGTCCAATGACATTTCCAAAAGAGAATCTTGATGATGTATAGATGGGGAAAAACTCCAACCTGACCCACCTGACAAACAGAAGCTACACTAGGACTAGCTGGACGCTATGGTGGGGGTCACCGGGTTAATAATCAGTTGAGTTAAGTAGAGAAAATTACTGAGGTGAGTAAATAATCAAAGCTTACCGATGGGTCGGACTCATAATTGACCAATTGTTGGAATTCAACAAAGTTGGGAACATCACGGTTGGGTTCAATTGTTGGTCTAATCGAACCCAAGCCAAGTGAAGGTGGTTGTACGATCTTTGGGATATCACAGTTGGGTTCGATTGTTGGTTGAATCAGCCCCAAGCCGAGTGATGGTGGTTGAACGATCTTTGGGATATCACACTTGGGTTCGATTGTTTGTCTAATCGGACCCAAGCCTAGTGTTGGTGGTTGATCGATGTTTGGAACATCACAGCTGGGTTCAATTGTTGATCTAATGGGATTCAAGCCGAGTGATGGTGGTGTGGTAATGTGAGGAAATGGGGATTGGATTTGAGTTGGAGCGAGTGGGCCGCCTGCAATGTCAGGAGCAGGGGATGCAATTGGCCAAGTTGTAGGTTGATTCGAATCCAGAGATGAGGGTTGAATAAATGAGTTGGGAAGGTGATGTGAGGCTGGAGGTGGAGGCGAAACATGAGTATGAGGTGAAAGGGGTTGAGCTGAAGGTAGGGATGGCAAAGGCGAAGGAAGTTTGACGATGTCTTTCTTTCGCTTTTTCTTCTTGACAGGGATCACATTACCCTGCATGGCCGTCTGCTTCAAAACGTGAAAGGTCAAATCTAAGTAGACCGAAATATCGAACTGGGGCCTTCTATCACACAACATGAGGGAACTCACTGTGGGGAAAGTGATGCCCTTTGAAAGATCGATAGCGTTTTGCCGTGCATTGCCGTCCAGGGCTTCGTTAGCGTTACTTTGACCCGCTTGCAGGGGGGAGGTACCGGGTTGATACTTATCAAGGATCTGTTGAATATCGGCCAGTGCTTGGGCGCGTTCCTTGGATGAGAGTAGAGATAAACGGTTGGATATCTGGAGGAGAAGTAGGATAGGTGAGTGACACCAAATAGAGATAAACATAGCGCAGGTGGCCTACTGACCAATGCGGATCTTTGCTTGATGTCGCTAAGGCTCTCAGAGACTGAGGCTTTTTCGTCCTTCTCCTAAGTGGGTGATGGCTTCAGTAACTATGAATGAATACCGTAGAAGTGATACTTACCGGATGTGCCATGGGTCCATGGTTGTGACACGGATTCTTGATATAGATCTTCCATGTACCTATGGGAGGTAAAGAATGGTGGCTGCTGATCAACTCCTGAAGGTGATCGGGGGTGTTGGAGGGAACAACTTCGTAAGCGTTGATGGCAAAAGGGCAATCGGTCTTCTGAGAACAAGAACTGTCGGAAGGCTTCTGTCCAGATCGATGACATATGATTCGCATCTTGGTGTCGTCGGATGATCGTGTGGTGATCCGGTATCCGTTTTTTTCAGCATGCTGTTGTAGTTTGTTCTTCAGCTCTTTCTTGGTGGGGGCCTCGGTGTCTAGTGGTGGTGGCTGTAGACTGGCAAGATTGGATGACGACATGGTATGATGTGATTGTGATGTGGTGAGATTCATGGTGGTATTGAGAATTGGATGGTGATGCTGGATGAAAGAACGATTGGGGGCGAGGTGAGGTTTAATGGGTGGAACTTGAAGCAAGAGGGTAGGCTTCAAAAATTGTGTAGGTGTTTTTCGGTGTGAGGATGGTATGATGGTGGAAATCGAATGGATCAAGATCATGGGGTTCTAGATCTACACAGGTACCATTAATTGTTAAGGTAAGATTTAATGGTACCTGTGTAGTTATCGTAGTTGATATATGTGTAGGTGTGTGCTTAAGTAGTGGTACGTAAATATAGATAATCGAGGTGAAGTATCTTTGATTTTGATGGGGGGGTATATGGG